AAGGAATATCCAAAACCTTACCAGAGGAGACGTCTCTGGAGTTTTGTGAATCATTTTTCTTGTATAGGGACCAGGTGGACGACCTACTGATTTTTTTTTCCCCTTTCTTTCTATACCATTACTTAAATCCCTAGAAGAAAATTTATATTTTGTTCTATATTATGAATATAATTTTCTTTGAACACATATTTTCCTTTGGCAATGAATACATGATTAGACGTCTATTGCTAAAACATTGTGCTAAATGAGGTTATTCTGGTAAATCAAAATTGTCAGGCACAAAGCTACATATTTTCACCTCTAGAATAACATTAACAGATTTAAGATCTCTCTCTAGTGACATTACTGATTCCTTAATGTTGAAGAGGAATAAACAAGTGTTAAGTGTTGTTTATTCATATGATCACACTTGGTAAAAAAGATGGCACATTTACTAATACAAGTTACAACTTCACATCATACTTCCTCTTTAGAATTCTAGTTAGATTATTGCACCAGAGCTCCAGAAAGGCACGAGATTTTGTTTCCCTAATTGCAGTAAAATTGTGATACTTTCTATTGTTTTTACTGCTAAATTTCATGTTGGCTTTTTGGTTTGGGATTTTAAAAGGATCCTAATAAAAAGCTAATTAAATTCTTTCAAAGACCTTGTTCTCACAAATAGCGCACCTTTACACTTAAAATACCTTCTACAATGAAAAGGCCTTTTTTGTAGGCACCAAAAATATACCCAAAGTAGCCCAAATTTACAACAATGTTGCTAGAAGGAGTGGGTTATTTTACCTCACATCAGGGATTGGTTTAGATGATTTTCTGCCTTTAATTTTGAACTCATGAGAAGTTCCTTCTGGTTCTTTCTCAGCCTTGAAAGCAGCATTTGGTGGCACAGGAGGAACACGAATTCTCAAGCCAAACAAATGCTTCTTTTTCTTGATTTCTTTTCCAGACATAAACCTAGATGATTTCAAACTAATTGTTAAAATTCTGACCCCAGGGAAAGCAACTTTTAAAATAACAGTGCACATGCAAAACAGAACTATGAAAATTAGAATATTCATTCTAATGTTATTTTATTCCCCTCTAACCATCCTCACTCTCAAACACAGAATGTGAAGTGGAAAGAGGATGGAAGTTAAAACAATTTCTTTTCCCTCATGATCTGGGTTCCATTCAAATAGTTATGTAGTGTTATAGTTTGAAACAGAAACAGTATTTAAAATTTACATGTTATCTGCAGCCAAAGTGATTATCAGATAGACTGAGCAAAGGAGACTGAAGACTGTAATCTACATCAGATTAAATAGGCAAACAACATTTAAAAAAAGTACCAATAACTTACATGGTCTTGTAATCATTTAATGCCTCCAGTACATGCTCATATCTTTCAGATTTTGGTGTGTCTGCCAGCTGTGAAGTATTAAGAGATCATTTAACCTGTCAAATTCTTTAGTAATAGAAAGATTCCAGTTACTTTGAGTCACTGAAGCTACAGATTTGGATGTGAAGTATATTTATGAAGTATTAGCTGTGGAAACTACCTAACCCCAAAGGATATTAATCTTAATCCCATATATTGTGTGATTTACATCCACAGAATTCACATCAGGATCAAGCCCAGGCCAAAGAATTTGTTTCACTTGTAAGAAGTGCAAGAAAAATACCTCAAAGAATTTTAGTGTACTCAAAGAACATAATACTAGCTTTCCCTCCCAAGACTGCTAACAAGAATTCTTCTGTGGCATTATGTACTCCCAATTTAACTGAGATTGCAAGCAGAAGATAACTATATTGACACAAGAACTTAGTTATTTTATTGGTGACCATTTTAATGAAAATCCTGCCACAGGACCTAATTCCCATTTTTGTCAACATTACTCAACATGATACCAAAAAAAAAATGGAAGAGGCCCAGAAAAGTTAGAGTAAAAAAGTAAATCCATTTTCATACCCCTTTTGCTACTTCTTGCACCAAAGCCTGAAGTAGCTAGTCCCTATCAAGCTACCAAAACACCGAATCTTCTTTCTGAGGAATTGCGTACTTATGAATTAGAGAGACAAAGCAGAATAAGTATGGCAGTGGCTATAAAGAAGAGGACACAATATTTATGTAAAAGAATATAAGATAAGATTATTTTTACATTTAGACAGCTATTTTTAAATTCCAGTGAAGCTACCGTATTTCTAGTTGCTAAGAATATTACAAAAGCCCTAAAACTATTATATTGTAGATGTTAATTCTTTCTGTCACTGATTTCTGTTTAATAAAGAAACTAGATTAAACAAAGAAGTAAAATACATTGGTCTCAAATGTTTCAAAACACAATTTTTCCCAGCTTAGTGAGAGATATTTAGGATCTTTTCAGAATAAAGTCTTGAAGATTTCCTCAACACAGCTTTTGTGCATTTATTCAAAATCTACCCCTTCCAAAATGTAGTCTTCAGATTTAAAAGAAATAGTTTCCTTGGATATGTAGAAATATTGATTAAGGAATTGAAAGTACCATTCAACAAAGAGGTGAGTTTCCTTATTTTGGATCTCCCCCCTCTTTCCTCCCCCTTAGTTATGCAGTTTTCACATAGATTGAGTGTGGATGGATTGAAAGCCAAAAGGGAGAAGAAAAGCACAATGAGGACTGTAGCCTTTCAACTTCAGAATGGCATGTGTGCTCCAAGTCAATGGCAACTAGATAGCTCCACCCTCCTCATCCATACCATATCAGCTGCTCTGACCAGCCATTCTGACATGAAATTATGTTAAATTTAAAGAAAATTAGATTATGTGAAATAACAAACATTAATTTCTTCTGTATTTCCCTCAATACTAAGAGAAACAAAAGTCAAAATTAAACACTGCTTATGTATTTGTTAAACTGTGCAGTAAGACAGGCAGAACATTTCATTCTATTGAAAAAATTGAGTATTACTACATTTTGTGCAGCTTTTTGTTAAAGCTTGAGACTTGATGACAGAATTATTGACCTGATATGACTTAGCTAAGAGATGCCATATATCCCAAAGTAAATCAGATGTCTATTCATAATGACACTGTCATTTTTAGTAATGCTTGAGTGTTTGCTTGTCTTTCTAACAAACTACTGACACTCAGTCCAAACATACACATTTTAAACTATTTCCCATTATTTACGAAAATTATTTACTCATTTAAACCAAGAACATACATTTGATTCTCAAATTGTGTCTGCTAGTAAAAATGGATTACAGATGTAGGAATTTACTGAAAAGAAGTGTAAAAGTAGGATGTACTTATGATGAGAAAATTTCAAACCAGTTATATGCCACCTGTATTAAAAAACTTCCAAACTCTAAACAATTTTCATGACAAAAAGAGCGCATACTCTACTAGCAGCATGCCAATTTCAATATTGACATAAATTTTGCATCCAACCTTACATGCAGAAACAAATACCTACACTGCTCCTCTTAGTTAAATATGAAGTCAGTCTGCTTGGGGAAATGGATTTCCTTTAATGCTAAGATAACTGCCCAGTACATCAAATAGCTGGAAAAATAACTAGTATAGTAGAAATAAAAACAAGATGCCTTGACAAGTAGCAGAATCAGACTGGAAAAGGATCAAAACAATCTTTAGACCTGGACACAAACTGATCACCCCCATGTTTCGAAGAAGGAGGAAAGAAGAAATGTGTTGTTACATACATACAAACAGTAATTTGTTATGTGTTACACCTTATAGACTTTGAAGACATCTTCACACGCAATATACTCTGCATTCAGTTCTACATCTAGATTTTCTGGTCTATGCACATTAAAATATCAAACTAGTACGAGAATTATAAAATGAAACAAAAGGAAAAAAATATATATGCAACAGAATAAATAGTTCAGTATAAATAAAGTTGCCACGCAAATCATAAAATAATAGTTACATCGATTACTTGAGAAATTTTACAGCTCAGAAAACACACACATCACTTTAAAAGCATTCTATTTCTGCAAGGAAATTAAAGATGACCTCCTCATTATTTGGCATTACCAGATTTTAAGGAAAAAAAAGAACTTAACATCCAGAATAAAACAGTTCATAGGTTGCTAACTTTCAGGACATATGTATGCACTGTGAAGAAAAAAAAGTAAGAGTATTCCAATTACTTACCTCACCAGGATGCAATCTATCCCAGTTTTCATTAATGTAGGCCATGAGTTCAAGCTCTGAATCAAAGTATTTCTTCTTATGAATAACACTTAGGTTGTAAAGGCATAGATGTGCTATATCTACCCTAGAATTCAGAAATATTTGAATAAAAAACACAAGGAAAAGTCTTTTTCTTCCAATTGCTTTTCTTTGAAATAATTTAGTAGAAAAGATACTAGCACGATATAGTTGGAGGAACACAAAGCACAACTTGAAACACTCAGTCCAGGGAACAACATTATGAAGTCTCATGTCATTTCTCTTCCTGAAGTGATTCCTTCTGCTTTGAATCTTTCTTTCATCTCTGCCTCATCTCATTGTCATGATGTTCTTTTAAACTCAAAAACAGGTCTAAACCATGCAATATTTAAGTCAGTCTGAATTCATACTTGAATGTATCAATTCTGAATTCATGCAAGTATTTTGGTGAATTGACATTTAAGAAGGTATTTTCCACCATATATTTGTTAGCACATATATCCACTAAATTGAATATAACATCTAATATGGGTTAGTTCAAAGATTTGAAACTACAACTAACCATTCAGTCTCATCAAGGAAACTATTATAAACTGTGTCAAGATGTGTACTCTAGTACTCACTACATTTGGCTTATTTAATGGCAGGATCCTAAACTTGCAAAGACATCTCTGTTCAGCTATTTCAACCTTCACATATACAAGTGAGCAGTTGTTTGCTACGCTTCACTGAACAAACCCAGGAGTAAATTCCAAGAGCACACAAATGCAACATATCTCTACATTTAAGGATAAACTTTGAAGGAAAAGTTGTCCCTGTTCATACAAGCACTAAGAACTCAGGAAACAACTCCAGACAGCAAGTGAATTTCCTTTTTTGCAAGGAGAATCAAAATACCAAAAAGAAAAGCAGCATATGTATTCAACTCACCCTCTTTTTTTTTTTTAAATTCATACTTACCATCTCAAGGGTAAACGTTTGAGGTATTCTGGTCCAGAACTGCAAACTGAGCAAATGAACGTATAAAACCTAAAAATATATACATATGTATATGTACATGTGTTTGGGTGGTGGGTGTCTGCACACACACACTCTCTTAATGTTTTAACACCCTAGTTATGAAAAAAATTAAAGCTAAGCAGGCTAGAAACCCAGCCATATGATATTGGAGAGTCCTTTCATCGTCTACCTCCCTTTATCAACTTCCACAATCTGCACTGGTAACTACCAGGCCAGATACAAGGTACTTCCTCAACTTTATCCTGGTACCACTGTTTCATACTCCCTGACAAAGTCCCTCAAACTGTGACTACATCAGTGAAGATGCTCTGTAATGTCCCCACTCCATTCTCTCAAATGCAGAAACCTGTGCACCAGTGTAGGTGTGCATCTAAAGGACCCATGAATTCCTGGGTCCTAACTCAGTTCCTTCATACAAACATTCCAGCACAACCAACACTAAAAGAAAGTATAATAGATAATGAATGAGATGCTCCTTGATTCACTTCTCAAGTTCTCTCTCATCTGTTCCAACTGCTTCAAGTTCCCCTTAAAATGAAAGCACAGACCAGCACTCTTTTTCATTTCCTTTTGTCCTGACTCATCACACGTGAACAGAGGATGTACAGAGCTCCTCTCAAGTCTAACTATCCTTCCAGCTTTTCCAGTTCCCTATACTGTTAGTACAGGGAACTACTACTGCACACACATACACACAGACAGCCTACCTTGAAGTGCAGTGCCTGTTGCATACAAAAGATTAGTCACCTACACAACATAAGCTTGAAAGCCCTTATCTAACTTATAGGTCCACTAAAGTGGCCTGCTTCAAAGTTTCCAGTCTCCCAGTTGCTAGCATCTATAGTGTAACAGACTTCCACGCAAAGTGAAGTCAGTAACAGTTTGAATTCAACTATCCACTGGTTACCTCTCCACCTCCCACCACCCCACCCTCCTTCATTAAACTGAGATGAAGAACTGCATTTTCCTGGCACCTGAACACATGCTTTATTTTGCATAATCTTCTACACAAAACTCACCCCATTTTTGGAAAATACTGTTGTATTAGAGATGTCTTAATAAAAGTTCATATGCGAGATTCCCTCCACATTCTAAATAAAGACAACCATAAAGTACAGATTAATTTTCTTACCTGTCACCAAAAAGCATTGGCTTTTGGAGGCACTGCACGCAAGCCTCATGAAACCACTGCTTACATTTGCAGCACTGCAACATCTTTAGATACCAGCTTCACCAACAGAAAGAAAAACAAAGTGTGTTAAAAAAGTTACTGAAAATTGTTCTTCACTACATTTAAATTAAATAGCAAGGGATCTTCTCACACAAACTGATTTTCACAGTTTATAAAACAAAATGTCATCTGTAGGGATATTTCAGTAACATTTAGTTCCATAATGAACCATTACTAGAAAAGTGTGACTAAGAATAATAAAAGACAGTCTAGTAAAAGGATGAATTAAGTTATTAAATGAAGAAAACAAAAATTTAATTTCCTCTGACAACCACCTTTTAATTCTCAATAATAAGAATTCAGTAACTCCATATAAGTTGCTTCTCACATACCGGATTAGCTTCTGACACAACTGCATTAAGTCACAAATATTTGTTCTGAGGATTCAACTACTTGAATCCTCAAAATGAACCTCATAGTTTACACTTTTTTTTTTTCTTTTCCTTTCTCAGCTTCTCCCTTGAGAAAAGGAACCATGCAAAACTGAAGGTGATGTTTGTCCAAGTCCGCAAAATTCTCAAACCAGAGCTCTATCCTATGAGTATAAACTCAACAGCTTCCATTCTTTGTGGGACTCTTGACTTGCCTTGACTTCAAATCTTCAATGCTATTTTACTCATTCACTCATCCATGCAGACACCAGAGTATTTATCTCTACCTGCTTAAGAAGTCTTACAAGAAAGGCAGTAAGAGGAAAGAACCAGCAGAGGACTCTAATGCCATAAGAAGAAAAAAAGTCTTTCCTCCACCAACAATTGCAATCCAGGGTATGATGTTATGGTAGAATCACACAGCTGTCTATTCCAATAAAATTTAATAAACTAATCTCTAGATACATTTATTTTTAGGACTAATGACAGAGTTAAGTTAACATCAGAAAAACACTGCCTAGAATTGCAAGATCAACAAACAACTCCATCCAATCTCAACACATTAACAGTAGCAATGCTCAAAAATATATTCTTGCTTGTTGTAGAATGGACTGTGATATTATGTGACAGTCACATGACAAAACTAAAACAAACCAAAAGATCTGATGGGAGAAGGAAAGCCATTAAAAACTTATTTCCCATGAGACATTTTAAAAAAATAATTCAAAATTCCACTTTGTATTGAGTTTAATACCTACGCACAATAGAAACAGAAAATAACAAGTTCACAAGTAAAAGTCTACAGGATCAGGGCCAAAGTTTGCAGCTGCATTACGGAGAAAAGTTCTTATATGTTATCTGTTTACTTACTCTCCAGGTCCTCCACAATAGCAGTAACACTGTTGGACATTGGTTTTATGACCTGCATCCCACTCAAGGTCTGTTGCGTTATACGGTAATGTTTGTTTCATGACTTGCAGTGCTTTGGCATTTGGTCCTTTCTTAAGAGCACCACCCCTCTAGGCCAAGACAAATACATTAGTTTACAAAAAACAATAATATGTTTCTGAAACTTTCAAATCCTTTAATTTGAAAGGTACAAAAATTCGTGTATAATCAAGTAAAATACTTTCACCGGTATTTATGTTCTAATACTAGTATATTTGTTTAAAAAGAAATTGAAAGCCAAATGTCATGTATTTCTAAAATAAATATTAACTCCCAATATACAAAACTTCCATTCAGATCAAAGTTAACAAAAAAACAAATCACTGAAAAAAGCTATTTCTTTTAATTTTTTGTTTCAACGTCAAAAAACAAGGTATGCATGCAATATGGGATGTATTAACAAACATTTGTCTAGAACCACACCTTTGTTGTTGTTGCAAAAACGCACTGTCGACAGAGCCATTTATCATCTGAATCAATCACGCTAGAATCAATATTTGGGGTGTGACACAGCTGATGATAGCCTGTATAAAAAAATAATCAACCAAAGTGTTATTAAAATGGCAAAAGCAGCCTACACAGAATTAACTGTATATAATTTTAACGCAACTATAAGGCATTATCCATCATTAAGTATCAAAACTCTGATCAAAAAGATCGGTAACACATTCAAAATGGTCTTTTAAATTTTCTTAGTAGAAAAAATAAACTTTACTTACAGAACAGGTGTTAGTCACTTTAACATGGATTATCATTATTCACTGAGCTGTTAATAGCCACTAAGGGCTATAAAATTTAAGATCAGTTGAGCAGTCAGTCATAGCCAGGCAAATATCCTCCTTCATAAAACAAATCAAAACATCTTTTAAAATGCAGTAAATAGAAAAAAATCTAGTTACCTTGCCCACATTTATCACATATAACCATTTCATTTGGTGCTTCTGAATACTCTTCCTGACATATTGTACAGACCATTTCCCCACTTTCAGTGGCTCCTAGACAAAGATGAAAGTGTGATTTTTTTTTCAGATTACATCTGCAGTTGGAATGGTTACCACATGTATGGTTTTTTTTTCGCAATTTCAGTTACAGATCCATGCATTGTAGAAACATAGTTACAGAGCTTAACTTCCTAACAGAAATAAATTCAAACATTTTGTACAGACTGTATGTGACAAATATTTATATCGCTTATCATAGGCTATCAGATATTTATAGGCTATATAATGCCTATTTACTATGCAATCCATGCTTCTTTAATAGTAACAAAAAAATCAGATAACAAAATAAAGAATGTAAACATAGGCTAAAAAAATACATATAAACAAATCCTATCTGGACAACTGACATATATTTTGTATTTACAGTAGTTTGTGCTTCTTTTCATGTAAATACATGCACAATTTGGTGCATTTCTTTTTGACAGATCTGCCCAAGGTACTTCAATAGTAAACCCCAAAAATAGCATACAAAAGCACATGGTAAAAGTAGAGCTAAGAAAAAAAAATGGAAACAAAACTACATCTTGCTCCAATTATAACACATACCAAGGTAAAAATTTGTATTATTACAAGTTTCTTAATCTACATGTTATGCACTAAAGTTTGATAGTTATGATAAATGAATCAAAGATCATAAAGTAGTACTATACAGAAGCAGAACAGCAGTATTTTAAAAGCTTCTCAGAAATAAAGCAGTTGAATTTTTGCTATTATGAATACAAAGCTTCTCTTGTCAGCAGATAAACTGTTTAGTTAAACATCAAGAATCAGTGAGAGCCAGATCAGATTTCCATTGCCTTTGAGGAAATTATAACTGATTTTCAGAAGAAATTGACACTGAAATTGTCATCCATGCTTCATTAGCATTAGATTATCAAAATACTAGCTACTCACTAAATATCTGAAAAAAAGTAAAAAATCAAAACTGAAATACAATAGATGTCTCACTTGATAATTGCACATTTCTTTATATCACATGAAAACTCCAAAACCTGTAATGGTTTCTTATGTGCAACAGTTATGATGTTACTTTTAAATGTGAGAACTCCATTCAAATCTAGGATTTTCCAGTCTGATTTCTTTCCACATCACGTTGTTTCAACTGAAAACAATAGGAGGACATAAACTCGGTGTAAATTAGGACTAGAGTTCTCTGTTAAGACAGACTATTAGACTCTATCCCCATCCAAATGAACTCAAATGTGGTAATTTTAGAAGTGTTCTCCCCTCCATGCACATACTTTTGTGAAAACAAAAAAAAAAGTTGCTGCAATGATAGAGTTGCTTGAAAATAACTTTTTTCTTTTTTTTTAATTTGCCTAATTCATGATGCTGAGTCACATTAAACTGTATTGCTTTTTAGGATACAAGAATATAATGTCATAAATTAACAGATATAGTAATCTAAACAAATAAAATACCAAACAACGACTACTTCACTGAAGTTCTTGCCTGTTTGTATGTCCTTCCAGAGAACCCAGGATTTGGAACTGTCTTCAAATATAATGAAGCAGTTCTGTTTCAGTTTGTTTATCTGAAAAACAAAAATACAGTGGAAGACATGAGTAAAAAGACTAAATAGAAGAATGTATTTAATACTAAGTAAGCAAGACAATAATACTGTAATATTTAACCAACATATGATACTGTTACAGACTCCAGTGAAGTTAAAAAAATTGTTTACCTTTTTGATAGTTCCAAGATAAAACAAGCCATCTGACCATCTAGCTAGGACATCCTGACCTTCCTCAAATTTACACAGTGGCTTTTTGGCTTTCTGTCCATCACGTAACGACAGTTTGGTCAGAGATGCTGAGGTCTTATGGCTTCGACGTAAAGGAGACCGTTTATGGACCAATGAATTACCCACCGCTGTAGAGTCTCTGGAGAAAGGGAAGTAAAAGAAAAGGTAATCAGGATTAGGTTAAAGTAAGAAACCATATATTTAATATTAATATGAGTCACAGATAAAACTCACTTAGCTAACTCCAGAACTTCAGGTAACTAAAAACTTGGTACTCTTACTACTTACAGTAGTAAGAGTCTCCAAAATTTGAAAGAGACAAGAAAAATCTTTTATGAAATCAACTAATGTAAATGAGGATGGGGAGATGCAATCGTTCCAGCTCAGACACTCTTCATAAAGTCACCAGAAGAATCAAAGAATGCATCAAAATCATTCAATACAGGATTACTTATGCAAAACATTAGCTGTCAGCAACTTGAGTGACTTTCTAAAATTCCAAGGAAGCTAAAAAGGTTCTAAGCCAATTCTGACCACATTACCTTGGTAGGGAGAATAGTAGTTGACAAATAACATGGTACTCAGCAGTTAGTTACTCAGAATAAAAAAAAAAAGAAACAAACACACACACCCCAAACACACCCCAAACCACCAACCAAAAACACAGAGGGGGGGAAAGAAACAAGGTTGAGCACTGTGTTATCTCAAGGTCTATACTAACTCAGGTACATCCAACACAGCATTATGCTTAGCCACTAAGCATAGCTGTAGAGGTTTCCAGCACAGGAAGAATTTCTACACGTTAAACTTCTAACATAAAATAAGTTTTCCTCTCTGTTAGAATCAGAGAGAAAAAGAATAAGGAAGGAAAAAACAAGAGATCTTGCAATCTTTCTTCACACGTGAAACTCAAAACTATAAATGACTTGATTCAATAATCATTTTTTTCCTCATACAATTCCACAATATAGAGCCTATTTATATATAAAGTATATATATAAAGAAGTGTGAATATGCTTTTATGTCAAACTAGCCATCAAACACTACACTCCAAGTAAAGGAGTAAAATAGAGAAAGTTATAAAATAGGACCAGATAATGCACAAGAATCTTCATAAGTAATAGGCAGAATTTGAGACTACAAAATAAAGTTACCATTCCTTTATCTAAATGTATTTTCTCTTTAGAAACTAAATGTATGTATAACTATGATGCACATAGGAGAGATCAGGGAGTTAAACAGAACAGAGTCAATTGAAAGAGCAAAGTTTCACCTCACTCAAGTTAGCTTAGATACACAATCAGCACCAGGAACATTTGAATTAATCACAAAGCACCAACAAAACCAGTAAATGAATCAGTGTCCTATATAGTTTGATGATAATTACTATTCAGATGTTACAGAAGTTACTCTGAAGTTTCAAAGAGAAATGAATCCCTTCTCCCTAAAAAGTTTACTAGTTACATTCAATATGAAAATAAAATTGGAATTATAATGGCTTAAAAACATAAAAAATATGCAAAAATGCAAAAGTTAATATTCTAGAGAGCAAACAATTCTTTTTGTACCAAACCGTTTAAACCAAGAAGGTTAGATATAAGAAAATTAGACAGCTGTTTCAAGCTTATTTATAATCACTGTAGGTCTAAACACTGACATGACAGTAAGAGCAGCCATAATGGGCCAGAGGAGTGTTCCACCTAGCCCAGTGACTCTGGCATCCTCACACACAACTGAGTCACCAGTTTAAGTCTTGCTTGATCCAAAATACAAAAATATTTGGACAAGTGACTAGGGAAGACCAGAGGAACAGAAAAAACTTAGAATAGCACTCCTCTCCCAAATATTCCCTAGGTCTCTTACAGGCTGCAGAGCCAAAGATCAAGCAGTAACATCTTTAATTTTTTTTAAGTCCTTAATGGAATTTTCTTAAGCAAGTTTTCCTACATGTTTTGGTGAACCTGTAAAGCAGCAAGTCTTTTGGCTTGTTTCACAGCTGGCACCTTGACACTTCATTTGACACCCTTCATCATCGCATCAGAAAACTAAACTGTCATTTTCCATCTTCTCCGTTCATGGCCCAGTAACAATGTTTAGACCCACCCAGCCATATTTCCTAGATAAAGAATCCTACCAATTCTGCTGCTGCTCACATGAAAGCCATTGAAAGTTACCACCGTTTTTCCCTAGTTCTACTCTAACTTCTGACAAATGGGACAGGATGCATACAGCATTCAAAATAAGTTTACAATAATAACAGGGTAATAGCGTGGCAGTCCAGGCGATTTTTTATTCTTTGCTCCCTTCCAACTAGTAACATTTGTAGCCTTCCCCGCAGGGAAACAGGCATTGAGTCAAAAGTTTCAAAGAATGATTAGAAACTGCAGGTTCTCATTCTAACTGCTCCCAGACTAGTGTTTCTTTTCCCAGTGTGTATTACTTCTGTTTGCACCAGATTTCATTTGCCACTTCATTATCCAGTCAGTAGCTTGAAGTCCTTCCACACCTTCTACAATGTTCTGAATAACCTCATACCCTTAGAATATTTCATCATTTAAACTTACCATTTTTCATACATCACCACAAGATTTTGCCCCTTATCTTGTACAGTAGCTTAAATTTTTGCAAGGGCCTCTTAAGTAGGTTTCCAGCCCTTAACACTTGTAGCAACCACATTCTACTCCTTTATATTCTGTACAACCATTTACACAGCCAAGTACCAAACAGGCTCAGAAACAAATGTGTCTGAAGTCAGGACAGTGAAGAGAGGACAAAAAGCTTTTCCCCAAACCTTTCTGACTACACATATGTCCAACTTAGCACAAAGCAAGCAACGTTCAAAGGCTAGGCAAGGCTTGATCAAAACAGCCTAGAAATTGTTGTGAAACTATAACCTGGTCTCAGCCAATAATTCATTTCTTGGAAAGGACTCATCATTACAAAGTATTAAAGTATTCAGATACTTCAAATTACATCTATAAATTTGATTTAGCATATTAAACAGGTCAATAACTTGCCAATTGTAGTTCAAAGCACCTAAAGCAAATTCAACAGTGCATCTTGAAACTGTTTTACAAGTGTTTTGACAGGATTACTCTCTTCTAGAGGTTCAAAGATTTTCTTTCCAGCTTTTTATCTGGTTTAAGAGACTAAACAAAGCAGCCAAAAGGTAGGAATGTTGGCTCTTCTTTTCTAGTACTTGGGAAAAAAGGTATGAAAGATCTTGTACAGAATAAGCAAAAGACAATCAATTCATTTATTATACATAATTTAGTACAAATTTCCATTTAAAAATCAATTACTATTTTTATGAATTTTATATTAAAAATAAGTCTTAAAAAGTATATGTCATTCTTTTAAGTACAGAAGTTAGTCCTATAACTCCATTCAAATTATAACAAAAATCTGTTGTGCATCATTTTCTGGCACAAAGTACTTACATGAGTCTATACATTTGACTTATACAACAGCCTAAATTCACAATAGCTACTTCAGACACTGAAGGATCTTGACACACAGTAAAGGTCTGAGCCAATAAAGCAGACATTTCTCCATTGTCCACATTGCTCTCTTTGTGGGAGATAGCACTGCTGAAGTGATGACTAAACAGCTCACGAAGTAGCTCCTGCTGTGGCAGTTTATAGTTTATCTAACACATAGACTGAAAACAAGGTTAGTTTTCACAATAGGCTGACACTAGCTAAACAGTTGCTTTCCATGTGGATAAGAAGTTCCTCTTCAGGGAAACATTGCCTCAATGTTTTTGATGGAGATTAACTGGGAAGAGCTATTGTTTTAACAAGTTGACTTTAATTAGCAAGCCATTAAGTTACTTAAGGTAGGTGTCTCCAAAGTGCCTCCTGGAAACACTGCACAAGAAATCACAAGAAATTCAGTGCAGACCAGCAGAAAAACTACATGCCTAAAATGTTAATAACTTTCTCATCTGTCTTGCCACAGCTCTCTCCGCTGTAGTGGAATACCTACCATTAAAATAAAATTTCTATTGGAAGTTAAGTGAAAATGCAAACTGAGGTTAACTTCTTGCTTGCCAATTTTGAAATTAATTTAAAAGGTTCCTCATATTCCAGAAACACGCTTTTAAGTCTTCCCTAAAGTTAGCTCCATAGCACCTTCCTACCATACCATTTATGGTTATCAACAAAATTAGTAACCTTTAAGTAATAGTTTCTCCACTGTCTTAAAAACTTGCCTCCAAGAATTTCTAATTGCAAAATATCCAACAGACATCTTGTTTTTCAGAAAACTTTACCCAATAAAAAAATCTACTTTATCTCATTTAACTTGCGCAACTAAGCTACGTTGCATGTCATACAGCGTGTCCAACCTACCTCAGCTTTATATCCTTTACTCAGTACCACATATGTTGTGGCTGTATTCTTACTCAATCACTTGAAACGCAAAGAAAAGTACTGAAAGATTGTATGGATGCATAAGAAGTTAGTGGGGGAAGTCAGTAAAACGTGTCTGCATGTTGAAATATGCTTCAAAATAGAACTGCACTTTCACAATCTCTTGAGAAGTTGATCTCGTGAAGTACTAAAAATGCTAATTGATTTTTTTACCTTGGAGTCTAGTTCATAACCATATTCTTAAGCAAGACAGGCAGAAGACCTTCTGTTCATCTACTTCATGAATTAGTTTACAACACACTGCAGCAGCAGGAGACAACTGTGATTCTTTGTCAACAGGAATGGCAAACTCTCTGAAGGTAAGCTACCTAATCAGTCTGATTTGTGAACAACGACAGCTTACTATGCACAGCATTGTATTTATCAAAATCAGATTTCTGTCAGTTTTGACTTGTTTGTAACCCTTTCTAACCCCTAATAAAGAGGTTAGAAAATTTCAACATTCATTTGGTGCCTCCGACTCCTGTATCTCCGCAGCAATCCTACAGAAGGAAGGAGCAAAAAAGTTAGGGAAAAAGATGTGAAGAGGTTGGAGGATTAAAAAGACTAAGCACTCTCCCTCTTGTTTCCAAGTGCCTTTTTCCTCAGCAGCACTGGCAGGTTAAGGCCATTCATACTCATGTGCTCTTTCAGTTGTAACAACTACTGTGAAACAACTTCTGTTAAGAAAAACTCCTTTGACAGAGTTATTTTTTCAGCCATCTCG